AAGAGCAATCAATTCTCCCACCCCAGCCTCCAAGTTGCTGGGACTATTGGTGCATGCTACCACAATGAGCCAAATTTTGTAAATTTTGCAGAAACAGGGTTTTGCCATGTTGCCCAGGCTGGTCTCAAACTCCTGGGCTCAAGTAATCCACCCACCTTGGCCTCACAAAGTGAAATTTTCAAATATAAGACTATTGTAGCACTGTATTAATTATCTCTCTGGATACATAAAAAAGCTAGAAAGATATCAAGTTAACCTAACTTCACAACTAAAAGAGCTAGAAAACCAAGAGCAGACAAACCCCAAAGCCAGCAGAAGATTAGAAATAGCCAAAATCATAGCTGAATTGAAGGAGATAGAGATATTTTTTAAAAACCCTTCAAAAAATTGATGAATCCAGGAGCTGGTTTTTGGAAAAAAATTAATAAATAGATAGACTGCTGGCTGAACTAATAAAGAAGAAAAGAGAAAAAATCAAATAAACACCATCAGAAATTATGGGGGATATTACAGAAATGCAAAAACCATCAGAGAATACTATAAACACCTCTATGCACATAAACTAGAAAATCTAAAAGAAATGGATAAATTCCTGGACACATACACCCTCCCAAGACTGAACCCAGAATAAATTTAATCCCTGAATAGACCAATAATAAGTTCTGCAATTGAGGCAGTAACAAATAGCCTACTAACAATAACAACAACAACAAAAATGCCCAGGACCAGACAGATTCACAACTGAATTTTACCAGAGGTACAAAGAAGGGCTGGTACCACTTCTACTGAAACTATTCCAAAAAAATTGAAAAGGAAAGACTCCTACCTTGTAATTCATATTACGAGGCCAGCATCATCCTAATACCAAAACCTGTCAGAAATACAACAAAAAAAAGAAAACTTCAGGCCAATATTCTTGATGAACATTGATGCAAAAATCCTCAATAAAATACTGGCAAACCAAATCCAGCAGCACATCAAAGAGCTTATCCACCGTGATCAAGTTGGCTTCATCCCCAGGATGCAAGGCTGGTTCAACATAGAGAAATCAATAAATGTGCTTTATCACATAAACAGCACTAAAGACAAAATCACATGATAATCTCAACAGATGTAGAAAAGTCCTTTGATAAAATTCAATATGGCTTCATGTTAAAAACTCTTAATAAACTACGTATTGAAGGAACATACCTCAAAATGATAATGCCCATATATGAAAAACCCACAGTCAATATCATAATGAATGGGCAAAAGTTGGAAGCATTCCCCTTGAAAACCAGCACAAGACAAGGATGTTCTCTCTCAACACTCCTATTCAACATAGTATTGGAAGTTCTGGCCAGGACAATCAGGCAAAAGAAAGAAAGTGTATTAAAATAGGAAAAGAGGAAGTCAAATTATCTTTGTTTGAAAATGAAATTCTCTTAAATCTAGAAAACACCGTTGTCTCAGCCCAAAAGCTTCTTAAGCTGATAAGCAACTTCAGCAAAGCCTCAGGATACAAAATCAATGTGCAAATATCGCTAGCATTCCTATACACCAACAACAGGCAAGCTGAGAGCTAAATCATGAATGAACTTCCATTCACAAATGCTATAAAAAGAATAAGATTCCTAGGAATACAGCTAACAAGGAAAGTGAAGGATCTCTTCAAAGAGAACTACAAACCACTACTCAAAGAAATCAGAGAGGATTTCAATGAGGACCCAAACAAATGAAAAAACACTTCATTCTCATAGATAGGAAGAATCAATATCATAAAAATGGCCATACTGCCCAAAGTAATTTATAGATTCAATGCTATTTGCATTAAACTACCATTGACCTTCTTCAAAGAATTAGAAAAAAACTATTGTAAAACTCATATGGAAACAAAAGGAGCCCAAATAGCCAAGACAATCCCTAAGCAAAAAGAACAAAGTTGGAGGCATCACACTACCTAGCTTCAAACTATACTAAAAGGCTACAGTTAACAAAACAGCATGGTATTGGTATAAGAACAGACACATAGATCAATGGAACAGAAAAGAGAACTCAGAAATAAGACCACACACCTACAATCATCTGATCTTCAATAAGCCTGGCAAAAACTAATAATGGGAAAAGGATTCCCTATTTAATAAATAGTGCTGGGAGAAATGGCTAGGCATATGCAGAAAATTGAAACTGGACCCCTTCTTTATACCATATACAAAAATTAACTCAAGATGGATTAAAGTCTTAAGTGTAAAACCCAATACTACAAAAGCCCTAGAGGAAAATCTAGGCAATATCATTCAGTACATAGGCACGGGCAAGATTTCATAATGAAAATGCCAAAAGCAATTGCAACAAAAGCAAAAATTGACAAATGAGATCTAATTAAACTAATGAGCTTCTGTGCAGCAAATGAAACTCATCAGAGGGAACAGAAAACCTACAGAACAGGATAAAATTTTTGCAATTTATCTATCTGACAAAGGTCTAATATCCAGAGTCTCCAGGGAACTTAAACAAATTTATAAGAAAAAACAACCCCATTAAAAAATAGGCAAAGGACATGAACAGATACTTCTCAAAAGAAGACATACATGAGGCTAACAAGCATATGAAAAAAAGCTCAACATCGCTGATTAGAGAAATGCAAATACAACCACAATGAGATACCATCTCAAGCCACTCAGAATGGCAGTTACTAAAAAGTCAAAGAAAACAACAGATGCTGGCGAGACGGCAGAGACAAAGAAACACTTTTACACTGTTGGTGGAAGTGTAAATCAGCAACCATAGTGGAAAACTGTGGCGATTCCTCAAAGTTCTAGAAACAGAAATACCATGTGATGGAGCAATCCCATTACTGGATATATACCCAAAGGAATATAAATCATTCTATTATAAGGATACATGCACACATATGTTCATTGCAGCACTATTCACAATATCAAAGATATGGAATCAACCTAAATGCCCATTAACGATAGATTAGATAAAGAAAATGGGGTACAGATACACTGTGGAATACTATGCAACCATAAAAAGGAGCAAGATTATGTCCTTTGCAGGGACATAGATGAAGCTAGAAGCCATTATCCTCAGGAAACTAATGCAGGAACAGAAAACCAAATACTGTGTCTTCTCACTTATAAGTGGGAACTGAATAATGAGAACACATGGACACATGGGGGAACAACTCACCCAGGGGCCTCTTGTGGGCAGGGAGGGAGAGCATAAGGAAGAATAGCTAGTGGCTACCAGGCTTAATATCTAGGTGATGGAATAATCTATTCAGCAAACCACCATGACACATGTTTATCTATGTAACAAACCTTCACACCCCACACATGTGCCTCTGAGCTTAAAATAAAAGTTGAAGAAAGAAAATTATCCTTGTGGGTAACTATTAGAAGTGGAATTACTGGCACAAAAGATCAATTTTTTTTTTTTTTGAGACTTAGTCTCGGTCTGTTGCCCAGGCTTAGAGTGCAATGGTGCAATCTCAGCTCACTGTAACCTCCGCTTCATGAGTTCAAGTGGAGCAGTTCTCCTTCCTCAGTCTCCCAAGTAGCTGGGATTACAAGTGCCAGCCACCACATCCAGCTAATTTTCATATTTTTAGCAGAGACTGGGTTTCACCATCCTGGTCAGGCTGGTCTCGAATTCCTGACCTGAGGTGATCCACACCCATCGGCCTCACAAAGGGTTGGGATTAGAGCTGTGAGCTACTGTGCCCTGCCAATAGTTTTATTTTAAAATAATTTACAGTTAATCTTCAGAAAATTTTCACCAATATATTCAACAAGAGCAGGGGAGAGTGCATGTGTCCCCAGTTCAACAAATCTGTTACAAATTTTTATGTAATCTAATCTATCAGCATTTGTCTCTTTGTTATATAGTCATTCTGCATATCGATTAGTCAATGACAACGAACAGCACAGAATACAACGGTGGTTGGTGTGATAGGTTATAGTATATAGCCTAGGAGTGTAGTAGGCTATTTAATGTAGGTTTGTATAACTACACTCTGTGATGTTCGCACCACCAGCAAATTGCCTGACGCATTTCTCAGAACATATCCCCGTTATTAAGCAGCATGTGACCGTATTTAAAGGCCTTCCACACCAAAAGTTTATGTGGAGATAGATAAACGGAGACTACACATAAGAGAACACACAAGTGCTACGTATTCACAGCTTCTTTTATAGCAAGGAAGTCAAGCCTACCATCATTTGAATCTGGAAGAGATTCAAAGGCAGGCAGGGGAGTGGGAAAGCTTTATAGTGGAAAAAAAAAAAAACCAAAAGACTTCAAGGATGCTCTGATTGGAGGTTGTTGATGTGAGGAAGCTAGAGGCAGGCCAACTAGAGGCAAACATCCTATGTGATTGAGTAGGAGTTCATATTTGGGATTTTCTTGTTGGTCATCGGGTCAAAAAAAAAAAGTCCAGAAAGGCCGGCAAATTGATCAAAGTCCTGAAAATTTCTGCAGATGCTATGCTTTGGCTTCTCCAGCTGCTTGCAGCAAAGGCTGTGGATTACAGTTCTATTTTTTAATATGGTCTGGTCATTGTTTCTTGTATATTCAGTTTCTCACTGAAGATAAATTAATTGTTCTTTTAGTTTGGTTCAAATACAACTTTTTAAAATTCATTCAAAAATTTATGTTTGTACATGTCAGGAAAAAGAGACAATTTCATTTATTTTGGAAAAATTTTCCTAAGTTTTTTCGTGCAATAATTTATTCTTTATACTAAAGTTCACATTTATATGATTTTATCAAGTGGGTCTACGTTATTTCAATGGAATTTAAGAGCAACATTATCAAGACTCCTCCTCCGGACCGTCCAACTCATTCAAAAAAAAAAAAAAAAAACTTTGTGATTTTCATTAAAATTCTTTCTTTGATAAATTTCTCAACAAGAAGAAAAGGGCAAAAGGGCCCAGGGAGGTGAGAAGGTACCTGCTGGAGAGAGGTGGTGGGTGGCTGAAAGCGGCTGGGCAGGAGGCGGGGCATGGGGCGGTGGAACTCCATCGCTGTGGCGTTCACGTGATCTGCCCGGGCGCAGATGTGGGCACCGGTCCGAGTGCCTGCCCTCTGTCCGTGTGGCTGCGTCCCGTATGCTCCGGTCCCTGGGCTCCTAATTCTTGGTCCAGCTTCTTCCAGGTCAGTGTGTGGGCCTTCCACGCTGCTAGCGGAACACTAGAATGGCGGAAGGGGAACGGGTATCGTAGGGGAAAGGCTTGGGGAGGGGGAGGGTCGAGGGAATCTGGCCCGAGTGTGGACAGAGATGACGGTGGGAAAACCGCTAAGGGTGGCTGAGGGGAATCAAGCAGCCAGTGGGCAGAGGATAAGGAAGGCGAGCACCCCGAAGTATCCATGCCTGCTTTCTAGGCACATCCTCTTCTCTGCCCTCCGTCCATTTTGGAGCCGAAGATGGTGGGCTGGGGACGCCCCAGTAGTGAGACAGTGGCAGTAAACCCCCTCTGCCGTTCCGTGCGTAGAGAAAATCGTTGACCGCGAAGCTGGGGAGGAGAGTTGCCTCTGAGGAGAAGGACACAGACACCCAAATTTAGTTTGGAAAGCATCCCGGTTTGGTGCCCGAGGCCTGGAAAGAAATGGCGGCTAGAGTGTGGGGGAGGTAGGGGAGGAAAATGTTGGGTGAGCAGGGCCTGGACTCAGGAAAGGGATCCGAGTCCCTGTGAGCCCGCTGAGCGCGCAGCCCCTACCCCTGTCTCCTGTCTGTTCGCAGGTCTGCGCGTCTGTTGTTCCCAGCGCTCTGCGAGGCCTGAAAAGGAGGAACAACCTGTCCAGAATCCCCACAGGTCCGTGAAAGCGGGGTGGGGAGGGGGCGCTGCATGGACAGGGGCCCACAGGGTTGAGGGTGTGGAGGGCCCGGCTATGGCCGAGTTGGGGCCCCTGCCCATCCCCCCACCCACATGAACAGGCACCTTATCAGCCTGAACCAGTGCAGAGAAGGTGGCAGGGCCTGCCAGGCAATGGCTGGCTCGTGTGTGGGAGGAGTGGCGGGCTACGTGGTGGGCAGAAGGCCCTCTTGGAGGCACGTCCAGCTTAGGGGAACCCTCACCAGGGATGAGATGCAGGTACTGTCCAGACCTCCATTCCACCCCACACCCTCAGTCTCCCATGTCTCCTCTTTGTCTCCTCTTCCCTCCGCCCCCATCCCCCAGGACAGGAAAAGGAGGGGAAATCTCGACATGGAAAGACTCTGCAGTGAAAATGAAGGAATGCCTTCGAACCAAGGAAAGATGGAAAATGAAGAACAGCCACAGGACGAGGGAAAGCCAGAAGTAGCTTGTACTCTGGAAGACAAGGAGAAGTTAGAAAACGAGGGAAAGACAGAAAACAAGGGCAAGACAGGAGATGAGGAAATGTTAAAGGATAAAGAAAAGCCAGAGAGTGAGGAAAATGCAAAAGAAGAAGGAAAGTCAGAGAAGGAGGGAGAGGCAGAGATGGAGGGAGGATCAGAGAGAGAGAGAAAGCCAGAGAGAGGGGGAGAGCCAGAGAGTCGAACAAGGTCTGCAGGGAAGCGCCCAGCTGAGGATGATGTACCCAGGAAAGCCAAAAGAAAAACTAATAAGGGATTGGCTTATTATCTCAAGGAGTATAAAGAGGCCATACACGATATGAATTTAAGCAATGAGGACATGATAAGAGAGTTTGACAATATGGCTAGGGTGGAGGATGAGAAGAGAAAAAGCAAACAGAAGTTGGGGGCATATTTGTGGATGCAAAGAAATTTACAGGACCCCTTCTACCCCAGAGGTCCAAGGGAGTTCAGGGGTGGCTGCAGGGCCCCACGAAGGGACATTGAAGACATTCCTTATGTGTAGTGTCCCTGGCAGGCATATATCAGACCATGTGCTTTAACCTTATGGTAATACTTTAGGCATCCCTCCTGTTACTAGCAGCCTTTTGACCCAACTGCAACGCGATGTTTTCAGTAGCAAATTTTCATCTGTTACATGGAAAAATGTTTATGGTGTATTGTAAAATTAAAAAACACAACTTGCAGAACCAAATATATGGCATGAGTACATTTTTGTAAAACTACAAGATACTTACCTAGTAATTTATGTATAGAAAATAATCCTGAAAGCTGTGTCCACTAAAAGATTAACAGTGGTTTTCTGTGGGTGATTTTTTCTGTTCTTTTTTGTTCATCCGTCCCTTTTTCTCTAAAAACAGATTTCTTAAGTCAAAAAGATAATGGAAGATAAAACATTGGAAAATGGCGCATAGGCATTCCAACGAACTGCCCAGTGAACTTATAAAGACAGTTGGATATACTTAAAATTCTTGTTATCAGGGCATAGAATGATAGATAAAAGTTTCATTACCTCTGGGGCTGGAAGCTGGAGGAGTCAATCCAGTGGTTATTACAGCTCCATTGCTGAAAGGGACAGCCTTGACATCTGAAATGGCGATAAAACTAGCCTAGAGATGTGGAGAAGATCAAGGTATTGAGTGTGTAAACTGCGTTAGGCTAGCTCCTACTCTCTCCCTTTGCACTAGTAGAACCAGTACCCAGTCAGATACTTGGGGGAGGGCTGAAAGAGGCCTCACCTGTGCCCAGAAATAAGTCCAGATAGCTGAGAGGTAGGTGCCACTTTCCCTGGGTAATGCCATACTTGGCAGGTAGTGTGCCCCTTCTCATGGATCCTGCACCCTCCTAAGTCCCCAGCTGCTGCTGGTGGGCTGGAAATCATGATAGACTAAGCAACACTATGTCCCAACAGAAAAGTGGAGAATTCTCTCTCTACCTACAATATAATTATCCTAACCCACAATTGCCACTTGGGCCTTGATATTTTATAAAGTTTTTACAAAACACTCCTTTCCATGTTTTTTGTTGATTTGTGTGTATTTTCGCATATGGTTGCTTCCACCAGATTTAGATAACTGGAGATTGAGCCAGGAGAAAAACCTGCGTGACCAGACGCTGTGCTGTTCTCATTTGTTAATCTCTAGTCTGCTGACACTTTTTTCTTAGGAATTGTCTCCCAGGAAATTTCTGTTAAACCCTGCTTTACCATTTCAACAGACCCATCTACCTATGTGATGTTTTTTTCCTCCCTGGATCTTGAGTAGCTTTTTATTTGCTTACAGTGGGTTTTTTTTTAATAAACTTTTAGGATGGTTTTAAATTATAGATTTATTACAAAGATAGTACAGAGTATCCCATATGCACTGTCCCCTATTATTAACATCTTACATTAGTATGGTACATTTGTCACAATTAACCAATATTGATACATTATTATTAACTAAAGTACGTACTTTATTCAAATTTCCCCTAAAGTCCTTTTTCTGTCCCAGGATCCCATTCAGGTTACATTTAGTTGTCATGTCTCCAACAGCTCCACTTAGCTGTGAGAGTTTCTCAGACTTTGCCTGTTTTTGATGACCTTGACACTTTTGAGAATTATTGGTCAGCTTTTTTGTATAATGTCCCAAAATGGGTTTGCTTGATTTTTGTCTTGTGATCACACAGGCATTATGTGTTTTGCGAAGAAGACCACAGAGGTAAAATTCCATTCTCATCATATCTTATAAAGGAGACATACCGTCAATATATTTACCATTGTTCTTATCCTTGGTCATCTGACTGAAGTGGTGTTTGTCAGGTTTCTCCAAGGTAAAGTTTTATTTCTCCCTTTCCATACTGTATTCTTTGGAATAAAGTCACTATTGTCAGCCGACACTTAAGGAGTGGGACATTATTACTTCCTTGAAGGCAGACTATTGACAAAAATTACTTGGAATCCTTCTGCAGAGGATATTTGATTCTTCTTTCCCATTTATTTATATATTCAGTTTATTTGTATCAGTGTAGACTCATGACTATTTTATATTTTGGATAAATGCAATACTACTTGACATGCTTTTGCTCAAATTGTTCCAGCTTTGGTCACCAGGAGCTTTCATTTGGCTCCTGTATTCATTTGACATGCCCCCATTGTTATGTTGTGGATGGGTTTTTTTAGTACCTACATTCTGGCACTACGAGATGGCTATAGCTTTATCTTTCTTATTTTTTGCCCAAGTCCTAGAATCAGTCATTTCTCCAAGTCGCCCTGGAATCTTAACGTTGGAGAATCGTGTTAGAAAAACAAGATCTGCGTGCTAGACATACTCATTGCTACTGAGATAGCATTACTTCTAGGCCTTCTCAGTTGATATAGCAAAAAGATATATCTGTATAGAATACCTATACATATATAAAGTATTTATAGAAATATAAATATTTCTATATATAACCATTTGTATCTACACAAGGCTAAACATGAATTTATACTGGTGTCTCCAACTACAGTTTATTACTGCATGGATCATTCTAGCCTCCCCTTCCTTATCTGTAACCTTCTACTCCAACTGTGAGAAACACGTCTCCTACCATCTACTATCCATTTTATTTATTACTCATATAAATATATAGTGGTTTCAAAATTGTTAACCTGTGGATAACAATTTTATGCACTGGAGTGGAGTGCTATGTACAGTCCCTTTTGCCTTTAGTCTTACAGACTCCACTCATTTTCAAATTTACCTTTGTCAGTACTTTATTCCCCCACCCCTTTCAGTGAGGTTGTTTCATAGATTTGTGATACCTTAAAATTCTTTTGACACATTCTGCATTTGGGGACTGCTATTTTAATGGTATTTTTAAATTTCAAGTTCCAATTGTTCATTGCTAGTATATGGGAAAGCAACTGACTTTTCTATATTAATCTTGTATCCTGGGACTTTGCACCAGGCATTTGTCAGTTCTTTGGCAGTCATGTCATCTGCAGATAAAGACAGTTTATTTCTTCCTTTCCAATCTGTATATGTTTTATTTCCCTTTAAATTTTTTTTTATTTTGTAGAATTGGTCCATTTCATCTATGTTAACAAATTTGTAGGCATAGAGTTGTTCATATTATCTTCTTAATGTCCATGTGATCAATAATGATAACTCCACCTTCATTTCTTTTTTAAAATTTTTTTGTAAAGACGAGATCTTGCTATGTTGCCCAGGCTGGTCTCAAACTCCTGGGCCAAAGCGATCCCCCAGCCTCAGCCTCCCAAAGTGCTGAGATTGCAGGTGCGAGCCACCACGCCTGGCGTCATTTCTGATACTGTTAATTTGTCTTCTTTCTTTGTTCTTAGTTAGCCTGGCAAGCAATCTGTCGATTTTATTTATTCTTTTTAAAGAACCAGCTTGTGGTTTCATTGATTTCTTCTGTTGTTTTCCTGTTTTCAGTTTCATTGATTTCTTCTCTAATTGTTATTATATCTTCTCTTCTGTTTTCTATAGTCTTAACTTACTCCTCCTTCTCTAGTTTCGTAATGTGAAAGCTTAGACTATTGACTGTAGATTTTTTTTTCTCACATATGCATTTAAGCTAGAATTTTTTCCCTAAGCACTGCTTTGGAGAATCCCACAAATTTGATATGTTGTATTTTCACTTACTTCAAAATATTTTTACATTTCTCTTAGGATTCTTCTTTGAATTGTGTCATTTAGAAGTATGTTTAATTTCCAGATATTTGAGTTTTCCATCTACCTTTCTGTTATTGATTTCTTGTTTACTTTTATTGAGAGCATACTTGTGATTTCTATCATTTGCTATATACCATATTTTCCCACAAATTTGATATGTTATGTTTTCATTTAGTTCAAAATATTTTTGCATTTCTCTTGAGAGTTCTTCTTTGAGTTGTGGTTTTTAGAAGTATGTTTAATTTCCAGATATGTTTTCCATCTATCTTTCTCTTACGAATTTTTGGTTTAATGTTATTGAGAGCATACTTATGATTTTTGTTATTTTTAGTTTGTCATGGTATCTTTTATGAACCAGAATATGTTCTCTCTTGGTGAATTTTCTATGTGAGCTTGAAAAACAAATGGTGTTCTACTGTTGGGTGTGTTCTGTAAATTAGATCAAGTGTCATTTAGCTAAAGCTGATTAGTATTGCCTTTCAGATCAACTATATCCATATTGATTTTCTGCCTGCTTAATCTATCAATTACTGACTGGAAGGAGGGGTTACTGAAGTCTGCAAATCCAATAATGGATTTTTGTCTATTCTCCTTTCATTTCTATTAGTGTTTGCCTTACATATGTTGACACTCTATTTTTAGGTACATAAATAATTATAATTTTTATGTGTTGGAGAATTGTTCCCTTTATTATTATGTAATGCCCCTTTTTATCTCTGGTATTGTCTTTGTTCTGAAGTCAGCCCTGTCTAAAGTTATATAGCTACTCCAGCTTTCTTTTCATTAGTGTAGTATATCTTTCTCCATTGCTTTATGTTTCACCCCTCAGTCCTATGTTTAAACTGGGCTTCTTGTAGACAACATGTAGTTGGGTTTTTTTTTTCCTTTTTGTTGAGATAGGGCCTCATTCTGTCACCCAGGCTGGAGTGAGATAAGGTATCATTCTGTCACACAGGTTGGAGTGCAAGTGGCATGATCATGGCTCACTGCAGCCTTGGCCTCCTGGGCTCAATCAAGCCTTCCATCCCAGCCTCCTGAGTAGCTGAGACCATAGACACATGTCACTATACCTGGCAATTTTTTTGTATTTTTTATAGAGATGGGGTTTCACTATGTTTCCCAGGCTGTTCTCAAACTCCTGGCTCAAATGATCTGCTCACTTCAGCCTCCAAAAGTACTAGGATTATGGGCATAAGCCACCGTGCTGGGCCTAGTTAGGTTTTTTTAAATTCATTCTAACAAATTCTGTCTTCAGTTGATGTAGTTTGACCACTCACATTTAGAGTGTTTCTTGATATATTTGGATTAATATCAACCATGTTTATAACTGGTTTTTTATTTTTATTTATTTATTTATTTTTTTTTTTTACGGAGTTTCACTCTTGTTACCCAGGCTGGAGTGCAATGGTGAAATCTCGGCTCACTGCAACCTCCGCCTTCCAGGTTCAGGCAATTCTCCTGCCTCAGCCTCCTGAGTAGCTGGGATTACAAGCACGCGCCACCGTGCCCAGCTAATTTTTTTTTTTTTTGTATTTTT